AAGCTGCTAGAATGGCCCAGCCAATCAGCTGACTTGAATCCAATAGAAAATCTATGGAAAGAACTACAGATCAGAGTTCATAGAAGAGGCCCACGGAACCTTCAAGATTTGAAGACTGTTTGTTTGTGTGGAAGAATGGGCTAAAATCATACCTGAGCAATGCATGTGACTAGTTTCTCCATACAGGAGGCATCTTCCCTTGTAAGCATTTTATAACACATAAATTTTTGAACATATTTGTTTTGTTTTTTTTGTATGTATTCCATGGGTTTATAAAACATGTGGTGAAAATTTCAATGTTCTGAAAATATATTTGTTTTGTTTACTTTTTTGTATGGATGCAGAAAATTGCATGGGTTGTTACCAACATTTTTAGGGTGAAAAATGGTGACGTTTCAATGCTTATTTTTAGGGATGCAGAAAAATGGTATACGTGTTCAATACTTATTTTAGGGATGCAGAAAAATGGTGACGTGTTCAATGCTTATTTTTAGGGATGCAGAAAAATGGTGACGTGTTCAATGCTTATTTTTAGGGATGCAGCGATATCCTTTTTTTTTTTAGGAACGAGTTCGAGTACCAATACTTTATATCAGGTACTCGTGATACCATTTACTGATCCCTATTTTTCATGCTGTGCGGTACAATTCGAGCCCATACAGAATGTATGGACTCAACTTGCACTACAAAGGATCGCATGTGAGAGCCCCCATACATAAGATTCCCCCTTCGGACCTCCCCCTCCCTTACATCAGATTCATCCACCAGAGTCCCCCCTTACATCAAATTCCCCCATCCGACTCTCCCCTAAATCAGAGTGCCCCATACATCAGATTCTCCTTACATTAGATCCCCCATCAAAGCCACCCATACATCAGATTCCCCCTTCTTACATGAAATTCCCCCATCAGAGTCTCCCTTACATCAGAGCCCCCATACATTAGATTCCTACATCAGATCCCCCTTACATCAGATCCCCTTACATCATATCCCCCATCAGAGACCCCCATACATCAGAGTTTCCATCAGAGCCCCCCATGCATCAGATTCCCCCATCAGAGAGCCCTTCTTACATCAAATATGGCACCGATATCTGTATCTGTGCAACTACTGTTTACCCGCTGTATGTGTATATTATTGTTTGTACCCATATTAAGGCCAAGGAACAATAGGGCATTTTCAAACCCTGATCTGGATACTTTATCTAGTAGGTCTCATTCACATGGGTGCACCAATCTGTACACCCATCTGAAGGGCCTTCTTCACCTGCCTTGAATGCACAGTTGTTCTGTTTAGCCGCATGCAGGCAGCTTGTTTCAATTAATGACAGGCGGCTTGTTGTGTAGACCTGAATGGTTCTCCAAGCACATTCTGGAGTGAACATCTGTGTGGGTCTGATGCTTGGATCAGAACACAGTCTGTCTGATCACTGACACATTTTTGGGCTTTCTGTATGTGAGAGATAACAAGTAACCTGCAGTGGATATGTTTGGGAAATCCTTTCTTGTGTCACAAACATGGGAACATGAACTGCAGCCTGGATCAAAAACCCAAGTCCCAAATAAGTAGCCTTTGCCCTCTGATTTAAGTTTTGTCAAAGATATTTAAAGGATAAGTTCACCTTTGGAACATGTTACATGTCCCACCCATATTTCCACATGTACATGGATCATGTTTTAGCTACTGCCTCCTTTCCCCCCTGATCCCCCCCCCCTGTGACAGCAAGCGGGGAATCTTCACTCTACACCCGCTGTAACAATTTTACAAAACGCAGCTGTTCAGGGCTTCGCCCACATGGCTGCATCATTCATTCACAGTTTCCTGTGAAGGAAAACCTACAAGTACCATCAGCCACTGCAACGTACGGCTTGTAGTTCTCATTGGACTGCGAGGGCACTGGTGAGCTCTCTTGTAATTCATTGATTCTTCCTGCCCTTCAATAACTGTCTGCCTATAGAAGTATGGGCAGACAGCTTACTGAGTGTCTGCGGGATCCAGGCATTGTACCTGCAATGTGCTGATCGCTGGTGCAATGCCCTACAAACTGCAGTGGAAAAAAATTATAAATGCACATTTTTTTTACCTGAAAAAAGATGTGCATTTGTAATTTCTTTTGTAAAAGATGAAGCAGATAAGTGTTTTTAGCAAATCTTTAATTATCTGTAGCCAGCAGTACAGATGTATGCATAAGCGTTCTGATAGAAGTCGGAAAGTCTCATCACACAGCTGAAGCAAAAGAATGTTACATCACTTCTGCTTTCAATGTGAAACATGTTGTCACCTTCACACATGTAAATCATGTAGTATTTCCATTTTTTTTTTGTCTAACCCCTGTAGGTTTCCTATTTACTTATTACGGAGTTTATCTGTAATGTTTGCCAGGAGTTCTCCTTTACGAATTTAGTGCAGGATGAGGACATTGCAGTGAGTGACAGGAAAGGAATGCCACTGCACTCTCTCTGCAATGTGGGAATATTCAGTGCCGTACAGCAGCCTGCTTTTTGAGGCTTAAGCTGATCTCCCTGAGAGACTTTCAGCAGTCTATAAACACATATACAGTTTCATGCAGGTTACAGGTCACCCTGCCTGACCTCCAGGAATACACATCCTTTTCTCCTTTAATGAGCTATTTCTAAGTCCTGCCATCTTCACTACATATGTTTCAACCTGTCTGATAATCGACATAGATTTTCTAGAATTAGATTCATACATACACAGTTGGCCCAACTAAGTATCAAAGAAAAGGTAGCTGGGACATTCTGTGTTGTCTCTTAGCATCCAATCAGATTCTCCTGTAAGTTTTCTAGTTTGCAAAGGGAGAGTCTGACTTTATGTCACTGGACAGCAGAGATTCTCTGTAGCAGCTCTTCTGTCAATCATCAGAGAAGACCTATGTATCAGTATTATTTACAATTAATCATGTTGTCATTGACAGATTCTCAACTACATGGTGAAGGCCAATATTTGCATGTTCTTATTGCACTGCATCCAGCAGAGATCTCCCACCAAAAGCCTACCATTTCACTGAGAAGTGATAGTGAATGTTGAAGAAAATGCAGTCTTGCCCATCAGTTTGTTCCCCTAAAAGATTGGCAGGGAGATCTGTTAGGGCCCAGAGGCATCTATCTCAACCATCTAATCGTGCTGCTCATAGGTTTGAGGTGCAGTCATATTTCAGTGTGAAAATCTAGCCTGAAGCCTTCCTACAGCTTTTCTCATCAATCTTTCCAAAGTGATATTTTAGCTTAAGGTAGAGTCTAGTGGCCTCTGATTTCTCATAAGCCTTATATACTTCAACAGTGAGATCCCCCTGCCATCGAGGGCCATTTTTAAAAAATATTTAGCAAAAAAAGGACTTGTCAAAAACTGTGGGTTGTTTTTATTTACACTTGTCATTTCTTTGGTGATTGAGTAATGGTACTATGTACCCCATGCTCATTCACATAGGGTGGGATCTGGGGGTGAAACAGAAGAAGGCGCTTCTAAGTGCGGTATTCCAAGTCAACTTTATTAAAAAGCGGTTGAAAACACTTACAATGTGGTAGTAAAAACAGGCTCTAATGTAATCCGTTAGTAGCAGGGCTCTGTCCTCTAAGCGATGGAGCCGCCATGCCAGCCAGCAGCTGCAGGGGGAGCTTGAGGAGAGGTGTTAAAGATGGCCACCGCTCTGTTCGGACCACTGGAGCGCACACTGGAACGCATGCTGTCCGTTGACCGGCAATCACGTGGGCATGGAGCGGTGATACATTTCGGAGCATGAGCAGAGCTCCTTCTTCAAGACTCAAGGGTCTTGAAGAAGGAGATCTGTTCATGGCCATCTTTAACACCTCTCCTCAAGCTCCCCCTGCAGCTGCTTTTCCATACCTCATCCGATATTTGGATACATGACTCAAATATCGGATGCAATATCTTCTAGTAAATTGAGCCTTTGGTCTTTATTCTGCTGTCACGCTTCTCTGTTGCTATGATTTCTTGATTGTATAAATCAAATATATCAGGTGGCACTCACATTAAGAAAATGTTTTTCCATTGTTTTTCAAGAGGAAGAAAACCTAGGAAATGTTCAGTATAAAATTACCAGTTTTCTCCAATTTAGTGCTCAAGTATATCTCCATATCTACCCGAGCAAAGTAGAAACTTCACAATTGGTCACTAAGGGCTCATAATTACCCTGTGAGGTTTGAAGATTGGGCTAAGCTGCAGATTGGAGTCAGAAAGGCATTGTGCCTGCTTTTGCCTGGTGATTCCACTTTGTACATAATTGTCCATCATTGACCCATTTGACAGGTCCCCTTTAAGCTCCACATAAACCACAGAATCCAAAGATGAAGTAGCAGTGTTTCCGAAACTACATGACCTCATTCTGTTTCTTCCTTCCTCCTTGGTGTTTTTCTGAAAACTAGTGTGGTCATATAGCATTTAGCTGATTCCCACACTAGCCATTTTTGTATGTTTATCCTAGGATCATCAAACTATCACATATTGTACACATGATCTACGGAAAGCATTGCTTTCATTTTACATTATCTAATACTCTGTGTTTTTACACAACTTTTTTTTTCTTTTTATCAGAGAAACTCAGTACTGTCTAGGAGCATTTCCTGTGAAAGATCTTTTTTCAAAATTATTATAATACTATTTAGGACTCTGGTGAGCATTGTCAAATGTCTATAGGCAACCTTAACCACTTGCCTACCAGGCACTTATACCCCCTTATTTACCAGGCCAATTTTCAGCTTTCAGCGCTGACGCACTTTGATTGACAATTGCGCGGTCATGCAACATTGTACCCATATGAAATTTTGATCATTTTTTTCTCACAAATAGAGCTTTATTTTGGTGGTATTTAATCGCCACTGGGCGCTTTACGTTTTGCGCTATAAATAAAAAAAGTGCAAAAAATTTGAAAAAAAAAAAAGTTTCTTTGTTTCTATTATAAAATTTTTCAAAAAGGTATTTTTTCTCCTTCACTGATTTGCGTTGATGAGGCAGCACTGATGGGCACTGATAGGCGGCACTGATGGGCACTGATAGGCAGTACTAATGAGGTGGCACGGATAGGCGGCACTGATAGACAGCACTAATGAGGTGTCACGGATAGGCGGCACTAATATGCAGCACTGATAGGCGGCACTGATAGGTGACACTGATGATGGGTACTGATAGACGGCACTGACTGGCATCACTGCTGGGCACTGACTGGCATAAAACCCCTGGGCACTGACTGGCAGCACTGCGGGGCTGCACTGGTGGGTGGCACTGGTGGGCAGCACTGGTGGGTGGGCACAGGTGGGTGGGCGGCACTGCTGGGCACATGTAGGTGGCACTTCTGGGCACAGGTGTGTGACACTGCAGAGTGGCACAGGTGGGTGCACTGCTGGGCACAGGTGGGTGATCTGCTGGGCACAGGTGGGCGGAGCTAGTGGGCGCACTGCTGGGCACAGGTGGGCGGAACTTGCGGGTGGCACTGCTGGGCACCGATCATCAGGGCACTGATCATCAGTGCCCTGATGATCGGTGCCGATCCCCGCTCTGACACCTGCCGGTTCTCGGCAGTACTTTCCTCACGATCTGACAGCGTGAGGTAAGTGCAGCCGAGAACCGGCACTTGCATTTCCCTCTGATCAGCGTGTCATTGGACACCGCTGATCACGTGGTAAAAGGCTGCTGTGATTGGCCTTTTACCACATCACGTGATCAGCTGTGTCCGTAGGACACAGCGATCACGGAGATCGCCGGGTGCGCGCCCCCTGGGGTGCGCAGGAGAGCGCGTTCTGGGAGGACGTCATATGACGTCCACTCAGAACTGGCCGGCCGCAATGCAGCCGTCATTCGGCTATCTGCGGTCGGCAACTAGTTAATCTTGCATAAAAGTCGGATAAGTCACCTATGCATCTGACTGACTTACTCTGTAAACCTCTAGGGTTCCTAGGATCCTCATCTTGTGAGCAAACCTGAAACTGAACCTTTGAAATATCAGGTTGGTGTGTTCCCTGATTCCAGCACTGCCTCCTATAAAGCAAAAAAAAACCCAGCAAAGCATGACTCAATTTGCTCCTGCAGGGGAAAAAATTCCTGATCCCCCGAGAGGCAATCGGATATTCCCTGGATCAACTTTATCTATAAATGTTAGTATCCAGGTGTATTCTGTGAATCTCAGGAAGAATCCAGGCCTTTTTAAAGCAATCCATGGAGCTGGCCAAATCCAACTCTTTAGGGAGTCTATTCTGCATTTTCACAGCTCTCACTGTGAAGAAACCTTTTGGTGTTTGGAGATTACATTTCTTTTCCTCCAGATGTAAAGAGTGCCCCCTTGTCCTCTGTGATGACCTCTACACCAAGTCCACTATATGAACCACTGATGTATTTATACATGTTGATCATATCCCCCCTTAATCTCCTCTTCTCAAGAGAGAATAAATTCAGTTCCTCTAATCTTTCCTCATAGCTGAGCTCCTCCATGCCTCTTATCAGTTTGGTTGCCCTTCTCTGTACTTTCTCCTGTTCCCCAATGTTCTTTTTGTGAATTGGTGCCCAAAACTGAACTGCATATTCCAGATGAGGTCTTACTAATGATTTGTACCGGGGTAATATGATATCTCTCTCTCTGGAGTCTATACCTCTTTTAATACAAGAGAGGATTTTGCTCGCTTTAGAAACTGCAGCTTGGCATTGCATGCCATTATTAAGCTTGTGATCTACCGGAACTCCCAGATCCTTCTCCACCATTGATTCCCCCAGTTGTACCCCCCTAGTATGTATTATGCATACATATTCTTATCCCCCAAGTGCAAACCTTACATTTATCAACATTAAACCTCATTTGCCACATAGTTGCCCAATTAAACAGTGCATTGAGGTTGGCTTGTAAGTTGAAGACATCTTGTAAGGACGTTATTCCACTGCACAGCTTGGTGTCATCTGCAAAGACTGAAATGGGATTTTTAATCCCAGACCCTATATTGTTTATAAATATTTTAAAATGTAAGGGTCCCAACACTGAACCTTGGGGTACACCACTGACAACCCAAGACCTTTCAGAGTATGAATCCATTAACCACTACTCTCTGAATACAATCTTTTAGCAAGTTTTCTATCCATTTACATACAGATTTTTCCAAGCCCGTAGACTTTACCTTACACATTAGCTAAATTCAAGTATACCACGTCCACCGCCACCCCTCTGTCCAAGGTTTTTGCTCACCTCTGCATAAAAAGAAATCAGATTTCTATGACAAAGACATGACTGTCTTTCATGGATCCATGCTGTCTGTTGCTGAAAATATTTTTTTCCAGTAAGAACTCATCTATGCGGTCTTTTATTAAACTCTCCAGTATCTTCCCAACTATAGAAGTTAAACTAACAGGCCCATAATTACTTGGTAAAGATTTTGACCCCTTATTAAATATTGGCACCACATTGGCCTTACGCCAATCCAGTGGTACTATGCCAGTCATTAAAGAGTCCCTAAAAATGAGAAACAATGGCTTTGAAATGACAGAGCTCAATTCTTTAAGGACCCTTGGTTGATCTGTGGGTGTATGCCAACCGGTCCAGGTGCTTTATTCACCTTTATTCTGTCTACATATTTTTGAACCATATCAATTGTGAGCCAATGTGGATCATCTGGAGCTGTGTCAATACCATGCCCATTATAGACAAGAGCTCCCCCATGCTACTTTTATATACACAGAGCTGAAGAAGGTATTTAATAAATTTGCCTTCTCTTTGTCCCCAGTCACCCACTCTAGACCATTTTGTAAAGGACCTACATGCTTGGATCTGACCTTTTTACTATTAATATATTTTTGGGGGTTGGTCCTGCTATCTTTTGCAATCTGTCGTTCGTTTTCATTTTTTTGCGACCTTTATTTCCTTTTTGCATATTCTGGTACATTCTTTGTTTAAACGATGATAGCTTTCCTTCATTTTTATAGTTAATAGAGGCTCTTTTCTTATTATCTATGGTTTTATTTTCCTTTTTTTTTTAACTTTGGCCGTAAGCCACATAGGTTTGATTTTTAGCCTTTTAAACTTGTTGCCCATGGAAATACATTTTGCAGTGTGTTCACATAGTCTTTTTGAAGCACTCTCATTTCTGTGTTATGTTCATTGATGCCAATATTCCCTCCCAGTCTAAGTCTTAGAGAGCAGCTTTCAGCCTTGGAAAATTAGCTCTCTTAAAATTGAGCGTTTTTTTTATTTTTCCTGTATGTGCTTGCTGTTTACAGCTAACAATAAATGAAATCATCTTATGGTCACTGCTACCCAGATGTTCTTTTATATGGACATTCGTAATAAGCTCTGCATGGTTTGAGATTACCAAGTCCAGCAGAGCATCTTTCCTAGTTGGGGCCTCTATGAACTGTACCATAAAATTGTCCAATAGTAGGTTTAAACATTTTTGCCCTTTTAACTGTTCCTGCAGTACCATTACTCCAGTCAATTTCCGGGTAGTTAAAATCCCCCATTTATTATCACTGTCCCAGCCCTTGCAGCCCTTCCGATCTGTGCAAGGAGCTGAGTTTCCACCTCCTCATTAACACTGGGAGGCCTATAACAAACTCCAATGATTACCTGTGTAGTACGCACCCCCATGTGCAGTTACACCCATAATATTTCAGACTCATCACACACTCCATCAACTAGGTCCTCTTTCACACTCACTCTGAGATCATTTCTCACATAGAGACAGACACCACCACCTTTCCTATTTACCCTGTCTCTCTGAAAGAGAACATAGCCAGGAATATTAATGGCACAGTCATGTGAAGAATGAAGCCAAGATTCAGCAATACCAATTTAATCATAGTTCTCTTTATGCACCAAAGCTTCCAACTCACCTATTTTGCTTGGCAGACTTCTGGCATTGGTGAACAAACATTTTAATTCATTGACACCTTGTGCACATGTATTTTGCATATTTTTTATATTCATACAAATGGTACCAATTCCACTGGTTGTTTGTAACATGGGAACCTTCTTATCATCTGCCATAGCCTTCTCCCCCATCTTTCCCCATTCCACCCACCAATAAGTACTGACCCCTGTCTGATCTGTCTACCCCATTATAATCTAATTCTCCATCCCCCCTCGATCCTAGTTTAAATACTCCTCCAGCCTTCCAATAAACCTCTCCCCCAGCAAAGCAGACCCCCTTCCATTTAGGATAAGAAAATCATAGAAGGACCAATTGTCCAATAATTTGTTCGTTCACAGCTTTCGAGAGCAATCATGACAATTCATGCGACAATATATCTGAAGGGACAAGCGTGAAGATGTTTCTCGTATGATACCAGATTGTACGATTTTCATTTAATCAGTGCATTAGTTGTCTGCAAATACAATACAATACATTATTTCACTTTTAAAAAATGTATCTTTCTTACGAGAATTTTTGTAAGTTTCGTACCCTTTTCATTTTCAATACGGAGACTAGTGTGCAAAAAAAAAGCGATCCTTCATCCAACATTCTTATCGTGTGTACGGGGCATTAGGACTCCCCTATGCCCACATTTACTGCACCTTTTTGATTTATAACAAAACCACGTGACATACTACATTTTTTTTTTTGCACGTTGTACTTTATTACTATACTATTTACTATATTGATACAGCACATATGGTAAATAGGTTTTCTTGTTCCTTTGTTTACTGTTTTTAATTAATTCTTCGCTTTGTTTCTCAAACCAATAATTGTATCTTTGCAATACATTTGGTTGCTTGACTATTGTCAAGTATGACTATTTGTCAAGTCTCTGACCGTTAGTCCATACTTCATCCTCTGTGTTCCTGTATGATATCCTGGTTATGGACCCTGGTTATGAAAACTGTTCGATATACTTGTATGTCTTTTATACTCAATAAAACTGAGGTTTAAAAAATAAAAGCCAGGGGCCAACTCCACTAAGCAGGTTCCACTTATTATTATTATACAGGATTTGTATAGCACCAACAGTTTGCACAGTGCTTATATGGGAAGACAGTACAGGTACAATACAAGAATGGTCAACAGTACCCTGCTCATAAGAGCTTACAATTTAATAGGGTGGAGCAAGTGGTAAAAAAGGTAATAACTAAGAGGGATGAGCTTATGGAAGAATTAAAAGCTCAGTTGTTAGGTGGAAATGATTCCCTGAAGAGATGAGGTTTCAGGGATCACCTAAAGGTGGACAGAGTTGGAGATAGCCAGATTGAGGTAGAGAGTTCCAGAGGATGGGAGAGGCTCTGGAGATGAGCATTGGAGAAGGAGACTAGAGAGCAGGAGCTCTTAGGAAGAGCAGAGAGGACAGTTTGGGTGATTTTTTTTTTTTTTTTTTTTTTTTTAGACAAGATGGGTGATGTAGCTCGGGGCAAAGTTGTGAATGGCTT